CTGGTACCTGGATAGATGCAGCTTTTCTGTGGATTTGGCCGGTTATCACCAGAACTCAAATAAATAGAAAGGGCCACATAGTGTAATATCCTTGGGTATCTTTATTATAGGCACAGGATAGCAGAAAATCCAACATACAAAAATAGTACTGACCCAGATGCAAATCAAAGATGGCCGCCGGGGCCCCTCGTGGCGCCAGCGGTGAGGCGTCCAACCTGCTGTAGCTTTTTCTGACGCGTTTCGAGCGAAGGCTCGTACTCATAGGGGTGCAGCTTACAGTGGTGGACGCAAATGACAGTGTTTAAATACGGATGATGGCGCATGCGCGATACGACATGCGCCATCTTCCCTATGCTGGATGTCCGCGTGACAGGTGCCATTTTATTGTAGCCCGACCCGATGGCGCATGCGCAAACGCCCAGTCATCGGGTGCAGAGAAACAAACAGCAGAAATAAATGCTGTGAGCACCAGGGATGATTCAGTCAAATACTATGAACACCAGGGATGATTCAATCCATAGATTATAGATCACCTGTGTGGAATCCAACCCAGGTAATATAACTGTGGGCAAAGACAAAGATGGATCTTAATTAATGGATCCAGAATCATATTATATAGCTCATATTTATCATGACAACAGTAATGTAAGTATATAGATCCCATATATGAATAAAAAATATATTTACGTAAAAATAAAATTAAATTAAAATAAAATTAAAATTCATGTAAAAACCTGGTGGTCATGCATACATAAATATTGGCAAATATATACAACCTGCCACACATAAGTATAAGTACATCATAAATACCCTTATGTATAAAAATCATATCTAAAACCAGTAATAATTGAATCAACAATATATATAATTAGTACAGCTATAAAATATAACGTACACCTATAGACCTATAGGTCATTAGTGCATGCAAAATATTAAAATAATAAAATATTTAATAAAATATTAAAAATCACCTAAATGTCAAGAATATATCGTCATAATGGCAAACGGAAACCCTCATAATTTTAATAAAATAAAATACATATTAGGATCAATGGCAAAGAATTCATAAAGAAATATACATATAGAAGGATATCTAAATAGTCCCAATTAGCTGTTGTCAATAAAACTATTGATATCCAATTCTATATTAAGTCCCTTGGGGCGCATACAGTCCATCTGGAATATCCATTTCGTTTCCATTTGCGAGACTGCTCTTTTTTTATTTATGCCTCTCCAGTGGGCTTGTACTGTATCAATACCTACAAACTGTAATGAAGATGGGTCCCTATTATGATGGGTCCTGTAGTGTAATGATAAAGAATGGTCTTTAAAGCCCTTCTTAATGTTGCTAACATGTTCACGAAGTCTGTCCTTAAGTTTTCTGATGGTGCGCCCAATGTACTGTTTTTTGCACGGACATTGCAAAAGATACACGACATATTTGCTATGGCATGATATAAAGTTATTAATTTTAAATGTCCTGCTAGTACTAGTCGATGTAAAATTTTATTTGTAATGTAATTTTAATACTTTTCCAGTCACAACCAGGCACAATTTGGTGGAAGTCCCATAAATATTCAAGCTTCAAATTCTGCCCTCCCACCCAATATGTACTGAAAAGTGAAAACCTGAGCAGCCTTAATCAATCAACCACTGCTCCTCTGCCTACAGAGGAGCCAACTAAATCTATATTAAACGCTAGCAACCTAAAAGGGTGCTACACTCCCCCCCCCCCTAAAAAAAAGAGGCCCTGTCCTCATGGGCCAAGGAAAAATATCCCGATTCTTGGGGACCCCAGGTCTATTGCCCCTCCGCTATCACTCCCAATCAGCTCACCCGATGACTCCTCAGACTCTGGCTCCTTCCGAGTGGGAGTGACAGAGTGGACAGTGGCAACTGGCTTACCCACAGCTCCTTCCTGCTGTGGCATGGTAGGGTCACTGGTCTGCATCAGTGGCTCTGCTGGAATGGATCCGACAGATGTCTCCTGCTTGCCTTGGCTGATTGCAAGTGAACTCCCATATTCCCCAGCTTTTGTTTGCCTGTGACACGGCTCCAACTTGGCTGTGTTCCTCCTGCGACCCTCTGGCCGACCGGGATTTCTCTGTCACTTAAGTGCACAGTCCTGTATGCAGATCCACAGTATAGGTTATGGGTGGTAGGCTGCTCACTGTTAACTTCATCATCTGCTCCCCACAGTGCCCACACTTTACCCACGCTTTGTCTGCAGCCATGGGTATTCTGCATTCTGCACACACAGGTCCAATCTCTTCACTCCTGCGATGATGTCCACAGTAAATCCTCCTCGGTGAGCTAGCCGAACTCCAATGTCCACCATTTGCTCCTGCCCCTCCGGGACATGGTCTTGCAAATCAGCTATTGCAGCGTTATAACTGACAGCCCGCACATATGCTGCCATCTTGCTCCTTTTACACACGTGTTGGGTGTAGTGTCTCTTCTAGGGCCTGTGACACATTGGAGCCAGTCTCCTCTGTACAGCAGGATTTTCCCATGCCCCTGTTAACTCTTTCTGTGCTGTAAAGCTGAAAAGCCCACTGGCTGTAGTTCTGGAATAAAAGGTGTTATTTCTGAGCTTGTGGGGCTGAAAAATCTCCTGTCACAGTCTCTATTCTGTTCTGATTGCTGTGTGTGCACTGCAGTCCTTCAGTACCCTGTTTATTTGCAGCGACTCTTTTTCTTTCAATTCCCAGAATTGCTGAACTGAACTGTTACTTTCCAGAGCCCTGTTTTGCACTTGGTTGCTACTAGAGATGGCTGTTTTGAACTTTTAGAGGGAAACACATTCCTTAAGCTTTTCTTGGTGGGGAAGTTGGTATTGCAGCGACACCTCTCCTGCTTTAGACAACATAAATGTACCGCAGTCCTTCAACTCTTTGTTTGCTACTGGTTGCTATGGACAATGGCTGTGTAATTTTTATGGGAGGGGGAATCTCCCGGAGGAGAACCCCTGCAGGAGTCCCTGGTGATTGGACCTATTTGCCCCTTTACAACATCCACAGCCAGGCACACAGTAGTGTCCACACTCTTCCACAGGCTCAGTAATCAGTCTAGGGTTTTGGTGTTTTATTGGGAATGATGAACTTGGATGGGAATAGGGAGCATGGGAAACTTGAACAGGTTGAGGACTACTAACATTCTGGCTGTGCTTGCCCACGTGTTTATAAAAATCGACAAACTTGTATTCTTCCAGCTGTACCTGTACAACACCAGATCAGTATTGCACCCCTGCTTGGCTGTACTGGCACACTTCAATATGTACTTCACTTTTAGCAACAAGTCCCAAAAATATGCTGCCTGTGCTTCTGTATTCTGAACAAAAGCACTAAGCAGTCACTTTTGCATCTCCGGTGTGTTCTACTCATGCCATATGTTAATCGGTTCCCTCTGTCCAATATCCACCAGGCTCTCTACTTGCGAGGGAGACGTTTACTCACTCATCCTCCAGGAAAAACTTGTCTCTCTCTCCCACAGCTTCCTCCCATGAGACTCTCTTGAAGCCCTGAATTACTGGGAATTCTACTTCTTCAGATCCCCCAGCTTAGCCTTGTTGAGACCTTCTTTTCCTCCTGCCGGTTCCTTCCCTGGCATCTGCCCAGGAAGGCAAAGCCCTCCCAACAGTAGCCTCCTCCTGGTTGAGGCTCTGATTGAATGCTTCCTTGCAGAGTCCCCTTGCTGCTCAAACTCAGACTACCTAAGGGCTCTTCCCCCACCTACTGGGCGCTTCCTCCCCAGGGATTGGTGGAAGTCTCAAATATTCAAGCTGTAACTTCTGCCCTCCCCCCCTCTATGTACTGAAAGGCACTAAGTTTACCTAGTAAACACTAGGAACCTAAGAGGGTGCTACACTTACAGGTATGCCGATAATATTTAGTTTAAAGAGAGGGTTTCTTAGAATTCCACTACTTCTGCAATTAGACCACTACCTCACCCAGCATGTTGTACAAGGCTTTAGGACAAATTACAGACAACATGTAATGGCATCTCTGGAAATGTTCTTTGGTTTACTGCACGGGAAGTTTCCTGTTCAGTTAGCCATCATTACCAGGCTGCTGGGCACTATCAAGAAGTGCTGGAGCTTTGTGCAGAATTTTGGAGATTGGTACAAGTATGTATGAATTATGAGTAGGTCCTCCAGGTGTTTGTGACATTTGTTTTTTACTCAGCCACTTTAGGCCAATGCACTTTATTGGCCATTTTATATATGGTACAGAGACAGGCAAATATCAGTAAAATGTGCTGAAATTCTTGTAATGCATATTGAAGAATTTAGAAGGATTTTTATTTTTCAGAGTCAGATTCAAATATTTTTACATAAAATATATATGGGTGCATTTTGTTTGTAAAGCATGTAATGTGGTTATAACAGTTGTGTTTATAATATATTTGCTTTCATGCTCTTTCCTGAATGGGGAGGAGAGGAATGTATGATGTGCAATTATCCTAACCAACTGGACCGGATAGAAAACAATTGAAATTGTGATTTAGTGATCCTGTGCTTTCCATAGAGGACTGTGGGCATACCACATACATAAAATTGTCATGTAAAATAACTAATTTTTTTTAACCACTAAACAGCACAATGTTTTTGTAAGGAACAGTTTTGTTTGAACATGTTGAATCCAGCACAATTGCTACATAATTTATCACATAATTTCAAATCTATTTATTTTCACATAACGACACTAGCACAGTGCCCCAAAATTAAATGGAAAATATTCATCCAATCATGTAAACAGTGTAAAGTTTATTTGTATGCTGTTATGTCAGGACAAGGCATTATGAATGCAGTGTAACTTGTTTCCCTTGTCCATTCCATAGACAATTACCAGAACATCTTGTACAAGCAATATGACTGGGTCTTAGCTAACTAAGTTTACAGGTATTTCCTGAAAATGTTTTCCTACTTTGACCAAAATGAAAACTGATATTCTGTCTCCTTTTTTTCAGCAAAAGGTTCCTATGATCTTGTTGCTCTAAACGAAGCAGCCTGGCAGAGTGCCCAGAGCCAACTGGTTGCTTGTGATGTTTGTGGACGCACCTTCATGCCAGACAGGCTCCTTGTCCACCAAAGGTCCTGTAAACCAAAAAAAACAAAGTAGTGTGAGTCACAATCCTGTCTAATAATGTAATATGGGACTTGTGGGAGCTGTAAAATCTCTGCACAGTAAGTGTGCCTTCAGGATAACACATTATATTATTATATTGTCAGTGACGTGATTTCCATTAGATACCCTTTATATGGTAAAATTCTATGACATTGTGTATAGCAAGAACATGTTTGTGTGTGTTAAACTCATTATAATTTTAATAAAGATATTCCTTTCATATCTGCAGTATGTCTTTGTGAGTGTATGTAGTGTTCCAGACTTCCACCATTGGCTGAGGAATAGGTGAAGAAGCAGTGCCAGGAATTCCGTCACTTCCAGTTAACAGGTGTCCTGTCAGAAGTAGGATGAACACTTAATGATGTTCTCTTTCAGCTGGTAACATCAATAGGTAGAACACATTGTCTTTGGAATTAAAGTAAATATTACCATAACATAAATACTGTTTATATAGTGGTAAAAGTAAATGTTTTTGGTGATTAGGGCAATAATGTGCAATTTATGACAAACTAATAACATTATAACAGGGAGTGCAACATAATTAGTCAAAGCTGTAGCAGATAAAATTGAGAGGGAATGGAGGGAATTAACACAGAGTGGGGCACCACTGTTCTAATTTGAAAATGAAGCAGATGCTGCTCCTAACTAACAAAAGGGCACTTGGAAATAGAACCTGGTGTAGGTGATGCAGATAGACCTAAAACAGGTCTGATTAATGTGGGGTATGCCACTCCAGACAGTCTCCTTCACCAGTTTTCTGGAGCATGAAGCTTAGTTAAAGCAGAACTAAAATGTCAGGGCAGGAGCTGAGGAACGGACAGGCAGGCCTAACAATGTAACGCACTGGCTGACGACAACCACCACCCACAGACCGAAGTCCCTCAGGGCGCGGAGTCTAAGTCCCAGGCTGCCCTTCACCAGGGCCCCTGATGGTGGGGATGGACTTGACGCAGCCAGGAACCAGGTCGCGGCCCCCGAGACACCTCAGCTGCGGTAATGGCCGCCGCCAATGGCGTGTAGCTGGTGGAAGAGACAAAAGAGTAGTCAGACAAGCCGGGGTCAACAACAACAGGACAAAACAGTACAGGACAGCAGACGAGAATCACAGGTCACGAGCCGGGTTCCGCAACAGAGGGTCAGATCAAAGGAGAATACAAAGAATAGTCAAGTCACAAGCCGAATCAGATACCAGGAGAGTCACGAGAGTCAGAACAGAGTAATAGCAACACAAAGACACAAGACACAAGTGCAAAGAGCATGTGTGGGCCACAGGCTTATATGTCATCAGCCACACCCCTCTGGGGGATGGACCACAGAAACCTGAAGGCATAAAAGGATTCCCATCATGCACAGCAGAATCCAAGATGGACGCCAGCACATGGAGTAACATAACCTCAGGAAAAGGTAGGACCTTGACATAAAGGTAGAACACTTAACTTTCTTCCAACAGTCCAACTACTGCAAGGTCTCTCTTTGGCACTAGCATCTCCTATTGGCTTTTTACAGGTGCTGGTCCTTGACTGGGCGGTGTAGGATGATGCCACTCCCATGCATGCATGGGATTCATTCATTCTGGCACGCTAGAAATTTAAACAACTGCATATGTGCTGCTCCATTTACATTCTACAGAAGGTGGCGAACAGGCAGGCAAGTTTAATTTTATTACATGTCTTTTTCAGCCTTTTCTTCATTTAGTTTCAATTTAAATCCCTTGAATGAATCTACTTAGCAGGAATTCAGAAATGAAAACTTGATAGGGCTTTTAACCTTTTTCCACCCCACTGGAAGCTAAAAAATGGCTATCTACTGTATACACTTGAAAGTGCATGTCAGGGCAAAAATAAATAACATATTCAGTACATACATTGCAGTACCCTGCAATAGATGCACAGTCTGTCCATCTAAAAACTGCAAGTACACAAAAAATACCAGTTTGTTACTAATAGAAATCTAGTGTATCCGAACTTCCTTTAGTGAGTTGACAATGCTTCAATATGCTGCAATGAAATTACAATTTTGCTGGATTACAGAATACCTCCTCTTCTTCCCAGCTCCATAACAATGAGGAATTTATGATAGTGGAATAGAGCAAAGTTCCAAAGCCTGATTCCATAAGGACTTGACAGACCGTGGTATCGGATGAGCAAATTAGATCGTGTGTAACTTTCTCACAAAGCGAAGCTTCTTGTTGATATACTTCATAAGCATATAAGAGTGACTCCTTATAAACGGAACACTTCATCAGTTTCATAAGATAAAAAGTAAACAAAAATACACTTTGTGGAATAATAATTACATAAACATTCTTTGGCAAGATTTCGGAACAAACCTCTGAATACCACACTTTTGGTCTGCCTTAGTTTGTCTGACTGCATATAAAGTTTTGGATATATTAAACGATTTAAATCAGATGGTCCATTTAAGAGCAAATATCAAACTTATGGTGTTTCTCTTACTTGTTACAAACAAATAAAAAAATAATAATGTATATGCAAAGGTATAAGTTTAGGTAAATTTAAAAAAAAATTAGCACAGGGGACAGTGCTTACATCGAGAAGCATCTCCTGTGCTAGTGCTGGCAGTCCTAGTTGAAATCTGAAGTACTCATTCAAAAAAAGGTAGCAGGCTCGCTTCATAGCTCACCTCTTGTACTATTAATATTTACTCTCCTCATATTCCACAGTTCACCTACCACAGCCCAAATAGAAAGTCTTGTCTAATCTAAAGCTTACACATGTGTAAGACGGGTTAATTGTTTTTTTATTGTGCTGTTTCTTTGTCCTCCCCTCCCATTTGGTATAGTCCTCTCTGCCCCTTGCTCTGGGGATATTTTAATGGTGGTCCAAGCTAGGAAAGTTGGTTCCAGACAAAGGAAAGAGAGAGCCTCGTGGAAAGAACATCTTGGAATGGACACTCACCCATTTGCAGGCCCTCCCTGCCCTTGGAATGCAAATGAGATGATTGTAAGAGTGTTTCAACTCTTGTTTACTATTAGAAGTAGAAGCATGGAAATAGTCTATGTTCTGCTGGACTGTTGTAATTTCCTTAATGTGGAATGGTTTGTTCAAGCATTCAGAAGCCAATTAAAGATGTTTCTTGCACCCTACTATCTTCTTTCTGTGTCACACAAAGTAATGGAAGTGGGCCTCATTTGGACATAGCGTGGCCTATACTGCAAACTTGAGGTTAAAAATGTAGCACACAGCCAGCTCAAGACAGGAGTGGTTGTGGCAAGTGACAATGGGTTCTGGTGGTGGGGTGCGGTGGGGTGGTATAAACAGCCCATGATGCACCCTGGGTGGCTGGGCAACTGTAACCAGACCTACAACTGTTCAGGGCCACAGTCTCAGACCAGGCCTGTGCCCACGACAGTAGCAAGGCATTGCAGAGTAACATACAAATTATAAGGCTCCGGTCCTTGTCTCAGGGCAATTGTATGATGGGCCTTGTATGGTCTATCTAGATGCTGGTAGGATGGTTCAGGCACTTCTCTTCATCTCCTGACATACACTCTGTATGTACACAAGTATGTAGCCAGAACCATGCTTTGCAACCTAGCTCAGTTATTCTTAGGAAACTGAGGTAATTCTTTCCCCTGTATAAGCCCCCAGCCTAAAATAATGCCATTTATACCTCCAATCGCTTACACATGGGTAAGGATCCCCACACACCACATAATAGTGCCTGGGCTATGCGATTGGCTACAGGTACTTCCAAGGACTAAGGCTGGCATATGGGGCAGTGAAGTAGTGTAGGTATGGTAAGTGGTAGAACAAGTTTACTTGTAGATGAAATACAATAAAAATCCCTAGCAGTTTTAGAGGGATATGTGCAGATAGTAATTCAGGTGCTTTTTTGTCAGTAACGGGACCCTCTGGTCTGTACAACCACAGTCAACATTTGGTAAATATTTTTCCCCATCTATCTTTATATCCAGACAAGTAAAATAAAAGCAGAAGTCAAAGAAATTAAATAATTTCCTACACAAGCCACCACAAGACTGGGTCAAGAGTACAAGTTTGGATGTGAAAAGTTGAAAGTAAGAGCATATACATGTGGCCAATTTCAACAAGATCAGTTGCTCAATCTGCTTCTATTGACAACTTCACACAGCACTGCTTACACTGAATCTTTTCCAGGCTTCATACGCCAGGGGAATAATGAACAAGGTTCATTCCAATAGTTCTACTGATTTGTGAATTCAACTTGGAACTATGGAAAAAAACCCTTCTGCCTAAGTTTCAACATTATTAATTGTTATTAGCACCATTTTCCTGTTTTTTTCTTTTACAACATAGTGTATAGCTTAAAGTTGAATTCAAGTCATTTTTATCTCAAAGTTACTATGAGAATAATGTAAAAATGACATGAAAAAAAACAGGAATAATCCTTTATCTAACAAAGAACTGGAGCAGTATCTCAAATGGCAAGAGAGGGCAGCATTTTAAGAGGAAGGTACAAGAGTTTTATTAGCAAAAGACAAGTTCTTGCTGAAAAGAAAATAATAAATTCCTGTCGTCCATCGACCAATCTTTGCTCTCTTAAATAGTTACACCACCTGAAGAATCTCCATCATCTGATACTTTCAGGAATGTTGAATGCCTAGTCCCTTTGTGTTCACTGGTTCCATCCACAGGTCCCTACATCATTATGGAACACAGTAGTGATATAGGGGCAAGTGGATTAAATAACATTGTTCAAGCATGTCAGATGCAGAAGATACTTTGGGCTACAAATCTCGATACCTCAATATGATGGTAAAAATTCTCCATAACAAACATCAAATGGATGTCAAGATGTTTTCTTGGTTCCAAAGGCTGCAACATGGCAGACATGCCCAGCATCTGGCAGATATGACAACAGTCCTCTTTTAGTAAACACACCGGAGGCACCCTTAATTCCACCTTTCAGGTGTAGCATTTGTACCCAAATTCAGTTTGTGGGAGATACGTGCAAAAAAAAAAAAAAAAATGGACCAACATTCCTGTCTGCAA